GATAATAACAATTACAGACCTCCCACTGCAGACTTACCTTTTACTGTGTCATTCTGGCGAAGGCAAAGACTATGTGTTAAACTGATGCAACAGGAGTTGGTGGTCGTGGTTTTTGAGGAGAGTAGGTTTTCTTGTTTTTGTTTTAAAACTACCCTAGTTGTACTCAAAAATAGCAAACTTGAGTCCAGAGTATAATCAACAAGTTGGGTTCTTGACTTCTCTGGCCTGGGGGCCATCTTGGGGTGTTAGAGGGAAGGAGTTTAGGAAAAGGGTGGGAGAGTGGGCACAGGGACGTGGGCGAGGGCTGAGTGCACACTCAAAGCACCTCCCGCACACTGTCCCTGGCCTGGGCTGTGAGGGGCAGTGCTGCAGCCTGAGTCCCGGCTCCCCTTTCTGACTTAGGCTGTGCTTTCTTACCTAAGTGTGCCTGACCCTGAAGGGTTACATGCAGGGAAGAGTCATTCTTGTCTCTCCCTATAAAGTGTCAATTGGCTTTATTAGTCAGCATGCTCCCTTCTAGTACCCCCACTCCTGGGAGAAACCCAGAACAGAATTAGATTTTCTGAGAGCCTAAGTGTCCAGTTACTTTTGCACTTAAATCTTCCCTGCAGTTCAGCAGCCCCATGTTACAGACTAGGAAACCAAGGCTCAGAGAAGTTCATCTGTCCCTCCTAGTAAATAACAGAGACAGGACTTAAACTCAGGTGATTCTGACTCCAAAGCCCATGTAAGGATAAAACAGTAATCATGGTCAGTGTCTGACTAAAAATACCTCACAGAATTCACTAAAAAGAGCCTTTATAATTTAGGTGACAACTTAGGAAAAGCTGACAGAACAATTATTGGTTCTTAATAAGGTAGAAGAAAATTTCTCTTGACAATCCAGAAGTCAAAGCTTGGGCACGAATTAATGTTTCTACTTGTCTCTTCAGAGAAAAGACAGAGAAAGAACATCCCTTCGTCCTGGAGGCATCTATCAAATATCAGAGCATGTTCCAGAGGTGTCCCAGCCTGTGAGTACAGAATTGCTAGTGCACTGGGTTCCACCACCGTTACAACTCCATGAACCAGTTGACCTGGTTGCTATAGGGCTGTTTGTACTGTAGTGTTTTTAAGTTAGGATGTTCTTATACTTGAGGAGGGTGCACAAATTTTTGGTTCAGTGTAAAATTATGTTTTCTTGGTATCCTTCCTTCACTTGAAGCTTCAGGGATAGTCTTTGTGCCTGCACTCATAGTTGTGGTTGGAAAGAATGTGAAGTATTCACATCTCAGTTCCTGCAGCTCAGCTGAGCTGGCACTGGGTCCTGCTGGAATTCCACCATCTGTTCAAGCAGCAGGAGGGGGCCTGATCCTCCTGCTTACAAAGTAGACACCATTGCTGAAATTCTGAAACATATACATTTGGTGAGATCAGGCTCCAAAACATTCAAAGGCATTTGTTCCCATTTTTCACAAATGTTTCTCTGTAAAAACATATGATAGTGAGTTTTTCATTTTTAGGATAAAGTACTCATTATATCATAAACCCAGAGAATCTTTTGGGAACTTGGGAGGGCTGGAATTCTGAGGAAAGGAACTTGAGCATGTTGCTTCAATTAATTTCTTGCTTTTTGTTTGTATACAGTTTGCTACTAGTCAGGATTTGGAATATAGTAGCACTTAAGAATATTCTGCTTCTAGTACAAATATAAGTTGTTAAGGCTTAGATGCCTCCAACACTTGCTGGTTTTTGGTAATGCTGATGTTCTGTAGTGTTAGAGTTGCAGATGCCAGTCTTACTTCAGTGTTTCCTTGTATACAAACAAAGCATCCTTGGCTTTCTGCAATTCTGAGATAGCCATATTTCTTGAAATCCACTTTTATTTACACAGTTGACAACCAATAAATAGTTGTGGCATTGTTGTGTATACATTTGCATCAGTTAAATAATATAGACCTCCAGTTTTGCAGTAACTATACAGGCATGAGAGGATATAACAGAAAGCAGCTTTGGAAAAAATTGGCTTTGAATCCATCTGTAAGGCAGGGGGTAGAGGAGGAAGTTTCATAAAAGTGTAAATATTATCATTTATTTCTCCTAGTGGAATTTTCTGACCAGTAGTTTCGTTTTTCCCCTGTGTGTGGTGGTGGAAATGACAGCTTCTGCCTGTGGCTCCTTCCGAGCATTGAGAACCATGTGGTGGCATCCCAGCTGTCATTTTGGCTCTTAAGTACAGACTCTTTTCTAGTTTGAAAACCATCCTCTGCCTGCACACCTGCCGTGACCCACTTCCCAGCCATGTGTGAAGTCTATCCTTGGAGGATGGTTTGTGCTCTGTTGGGCTCTAAACAAAAATGTTTCCATGAACTCCAGCTTCCAGTGTTTTGCACTATAGGAGAACCAATCCTCCAAAGGAGGCCTTGCCAGGCAGCTGACTTGCTGCTTCAGTGACAAAATGGAATCCATTCATATTGTTCCTAGCTTTAGGAGAAAAGAAATGCTTCATCTTCTTGGTAATGAATTTAGCAAAGCACAGTCAAAAAGAGTGGTTCTTCTTATTCCAAGGTCCCTTGCCATTGCTGCCAATCTGTGCTAACAAGTGCCACTGTCTGCTTTTGATTCCCAAAACAGTGGCTTTCCCTCTCCCTAATTCTTATTCCAAGTAGTATTCTTTTTATAATCCTTCATGTTCCTGTAACTCTTTAGCATTTACAAAGTGTTTTCACCTGCTCATTTATGAGGTAAGTATTATCACAGGTTTAGAGCCAGGGAAACAAGCATAAAGATCGGTTGAGAATTACCACAGTGGCAGTGCTATTCTGTGACCAAGCTGAGCCTTGGAAGCAGGACCTCTGTCTCCCACATTAGTGCTCCGTCCCATCACGCCTCTGGCACACAAAGGTAGCCTGGTGGCGGTGCCGTGATGGCAATGGCATGTAAAATCTCTAAACTGCTAATATCCTCTTTTCCTTCCAGGCTGAGAACATCTCTAAGGACCTCTACATAGAAGTATATCCAGGGACCTATTCTGTCACTGTGGGCTCAAATGACTTAACCAAGAAGACTCATGTGGTAGCAGTCGATTCTGGACAGAGTGTGGACTTGGTCTTCCCTGTATGATGTTGACCATCGCTGCCATCACATCACCCTTTTTTTAAGTAGCAAGAAGAATAAAGTCACTTTATGATTCTCTTAATAGTTACACATTACCCTGCTTTTAGTGCTGACTGTGTCAGCCATCCTGGGAACTGGAGTCTCTTTCAGTGCCTATTTTAACTTGACAGTGTAGAAGTCCGCGATCCTCGTTTGCATAAAAGAAATGATGCTGTCTGAACAGTTTTTACTGCTTGCTTTCCATGTAAAGGTTAATAATGATAATAAAGGGAGAAATTTAGAAATGAAGAGAATTCATTTTTATTGGTATTAAGAGGTAAAATAAAATGTTGCTCATGTACAACTGTAGGCTTTATGAAAAGAAGGCAGAGAGGCTGTGGGCATGTTTACCCAAAATAGGCTGACCACACCATGTATTTTCGGTGGAAGAGGCATCCTAAAACAGTCTCACCAGAGCCCTGGCAGGGAGCCCGGGGGCAGGGCTGCCACACTCCTGTGCCCCTCATGACAGGTGCTGTCCTGCACTCACCTGCAGGGACTCTTCATGGGGTGAAGGCGCTGCTGCTTACACTGCTATCACCTGTGGCCTGTACCGTCTTCCTTCCATTGAAGACAACCTTGGCAGCCACTCTTAGTAACGCCATCATTATTCTTTAATTTCCTATAAGATAAAAAAAAGTTATCTTATGCTGACTGTAATTTTAACACATTAACTGCCATGTGAGTTGTGTTTAACTCATACTAGTTTTAAGACCGGGGTCTTGTGAACCATATGTAAAACTCACATGTCTCTTTATGTTGGGAGCCTTGTGGTACACAGGCAACTCATGCTGCCATGCTGTAGCATACGTGTTACATGATGGGTGGGTCCCTGGGCAAAACCCTGCAGTTGGTTCATGAAAATCTTACTTGTTGATGTTCTTATTGTCACAGTGTTGACAATTGCATATAACTCACACACAGAAAATAAAAAATAACAAATTTTTCATTAAATTAGAAAGGATTGTTTTGTTTTCAAAGTTTTTATTCTATTTTCATAATAAAACACCCGTGGCCCCAAGGAAAAATTTTTTTTTCTAGTATGGCAGTCAGTGTGTTAAGGAACAGAGTCACTGATTTTAAGGCCAGGCATGGTGGCTCATGCCTGTAATCCTAGCACTTTGGGAAGCTGAGGTGGGAGAATTGCTTTAGGCCAGGAATTCAAGACCAGCCCGAGCAGAAGTGACACCCCTGTCTCTACAAAAAAATAGAAAAATTAGCGGGGTGTGGTGGCGTGCACCTGGAGTCCCAGCTACTAGGGAAGTTGAGGCAGGAGGATCGCTTGAGCCCAGGAGTTTGAGGTTGCAGTGAGCTATGATGACACCACTGCATTCTAGCTGGGGCAACAAAGACCCCATCTCAAAAAAAAAAAAAAATCACTGATTTTAAAAAGGCATTAATGTATCCCAAACGTCTCTAAGCTACCACGCCAACAGTATTATTACATCTCCCAGTTTAGTTGCCTCCTGATTCATCGCATGTTGAATGTAACAGGTCTGTCTTCAGGAAAAGTGCTGGTATTTTATATGAGGAAAACAAAGTTTTAAGTAGAGCTACATTAACATTCCTAGTGAGGAACAGACTCCTGTGTTCAGAGGGCCGAGTAAAGCAGACCCATGCCCAACTCCACAGGGCAGAGGGTCATTTAAATGGGGATCCTTGCACCCCCCAAGAAGCCTATGATGAACTTAATGGGTTCTACAAGCCTTCCGAAATTATATGCAAAATTGTATGTATTTTTCTGGGAAAAGAGGCCATGGGGCCATTGTCAAAGGGGATGTGACCCAAAAGGGTGTAAGAACCATGTAAGGAATCCTCAAGAAGCCCCTTTCCAGCCACTCCGCTTTACCTGGATCCTCAGGACTTCAAGGGGAATTCTTGGCTCTCTGATGTGTCACAATACCCTGACTCAATCTTCTGTGTTCAGCTTCCTCTGGCAGGGTCTGTGGTAGCTTCATGTTTGTGGCTTTCATGGCCAGCTCCTTGGGAGTCCCCACTCCCATAGTTTGTACTCTCTCCTGTCTGTTGTCTTTCTCTTCTTTCCGGATGTTGCAATGTCTTGTTCCTAAATCCAGAAGTCAGTATGTCAAATATGCCTCCATTTTGATGGGATTAGCCTTGATACAGGTAGAGCTATATCAAGGATCACTAAACCACTTAAGTATCTGTAAGCTTCTAGCATGGTTTTCTATTTTTGAAAGAAATGAAGTTTGTTAATCATTTCTGGCCATTATGCTTTTGGGAAAGGTTATTATCTGGTACTCAGGTTTGGAGTTGGAGGGAAGCGATCAGACGTATTTTTCAAACAGCCAGTGGGGGAAGCAAAGGTAACCAACTGCCACCAGGTGAAAGAGTGCCAAAGAAGGATCACAAAGATGAGATAATAAGCTGATGGAAAAACAAGTTTTACGAAATTGAGCTGGGCGTGGTGGCACGTGCCTATAGTCCTAGCTACTCTGGAGGCTGAGGCAGGAGGATCAGTTGAGAACAGGAGTTGGAGGCTGCAGCAAGCTGGGACCAAGGCACTGCACTCCGCCTGGGCAATAGAATGAGACCCCATCTCTAAAACAAAAACAGAAAGGAAGGAATACTTTTTGAGTTACTTTTAAAACTACAGACTGAGTCCTGTTTCAGTCACAAACAAGGGAGAGCATCATGACTGCTGGCAGCCGATACTCTGGCCTCCCCAGGGCTGTCAAAATGACACCGCAACCTCTCGCTGCCATAACCAGAAGTAACAATATGGAGAGCAGAGGATCCCCACACAAAAGGCTTTGTAAGAGACAGAGCTCAAGACTGTCAAGTGCCAGTAACTGACAGAGCTGATACCAAGTACTGTCAGATCAAGTACTGATATCAAGAACCAATAAATATCAAGCATATTTGAGAGAAGCAAAGCAGCACATTTCCTTAAAAGGATGCAGAATCTGAAGGGAGAAAAGCAAAGCTCTGGTGTTTGCCACTGTCTCCAGCCCTGGCCCACACGTGGGTTTATGTGCTCCATCTTCACTCATTAGCTGTGGCAGGCAGTACCGCATCTGTGACCAGGGCTGGGGAGGGCCCCTCTCTCCACACCCGGTCTCAGGCATGTCCTTGATGTATTTGGGAGAACATGCCTGAGACAGGGGCAGGAGTGAAATCCTCATAGGCTAAGCAATCCTCTGGCTGAGCAGCTGTACTAGAAGTAGGGCAATGGCTTCAAACAAGGACCCACAACGGGACCCAGTATGGGCAGTGCCTGGAGATGGCTAAGCCCTTAGCAGTGCTGTCCCTTAGCCTTCATGGCATCCCTGCCCCAGATACCCCTTCACTGAACATTGAGTCAGTGACCCCGGGTCCCAGGAATCTCATCGAGCCAGGCTCATCCAGGCTTCTCCTCCACACAGCTCTGCCAGCCGACTTGGGCTTCCATTCTTTCTGGGTCCCGCTGGGAATTTAGATAGGATGTGCGTGATGAGGCAGATCAATGACAGGTTTGAGATCCCCAAACCTACCAGGGCATGCCCTGCAGTTCTCAGCTCCAGGCAGAGTAGTCCGGGGATGGCTGCAGGCTGCCGACGACAGCCGCGAAGGAGGAACAACAGTGCCCTGGTCCTTCCCACGCTTACTAGGGGGCCATCTGAGGAGCAGGGCCAGCTGACCAACTCTGAAGGACAGTGTCTGTGCTTCTCAGGGCATCGGATCTAATCAACACCTGCAGGCATTCTGACTGTTCATCTAGAGAAAAATCAAGGCCTCCAAGAAAAAGGGTGGGGGCAAAAACAGACAGTGGCAGTGCCCTGTCAGTAGAGACTGGTGAAGAAAGGAAAAGACAGGCATTCAACAGGGTGCAAGGCTTAGCGCAGACATCAGCCGTCCTTCCTCTCTTGTTGGGCCTGAAAGGGAAACCTGCCATTTCCTCTCAGCATGGTCTCCCCTTCCGCATGACCAGACTCCCAAGTATTACTTCGATGCCGATAGAGTGGACGTGTGCCTCAGATTCCTAAGGGGCCTCCATCCCCGCCTTAGGAGGCAAGCCCACGCCCTTGGTATACCTGGCTTCCCAGGGTGCGGCTCAGGCCCGTTTCTCCTCCAATACCTCCACTCAGGCCGGCAGAGGCCACTCTGCCTTGGAGACTTCTCTAGAAGGATGGGGTCTGTGTTGACTGCGCTGTTCACCATCAGTCTCTGGGGAAGGCCCATCTCCAGATCATTCTCCAAATCTTCTTCTTCAGAGGAGGAGGAGGAGGTGGACGAGGAGGAGGAGGAGAAAGAAAGAGCCACGGGAGCAGGCACTGCTACTTCCTCCTCTTTGGGACCCTCTAGGGGCAAAAGCTGTGCCATGGGCCTCAGCTCTGACTCTGGAAGTTCTCTGGCTGTGACCTCCGAGGTCCTGGGTAGAGGCCACCAGGTGAGGCCAGCTGAGGGGCAGCAGCAGAGGCAGCCCTGGCACAGCAGCTGGCAGCAGGTGTGGGGGTGGCAAGGAGGGCGCAGGGACGGAGTGCCCAGAAGAAGCCCATTGGCGATGCATCCAGCGGCCGGCCCCAGCAGAGAGCAGCAAGGGGCCCTGCAGAGGGGACTGGGGTGCTTCCTAGTGAAAGGCTTGTGCAGCCTCTCCACAGCCTTCTTCCAGACAGTGGGGGGCACCCACTGGACCTCACCTAGAGGCACTTTAGCTGTTCGGCCATTCCAGAAGTGAACAGTGATTTCTTCTTCCTTTGATGCTATGTAATAGAAAAGGGCAACATTCTGTTACAATTACCTCTTCCTAATCATGGGATAAGGTCCTCCTATCCCCAAAGGCTCCCATTCCCCTCACCTGCGCCATTTTTACCACCACTTTTTTTTTTTTTTTTTTTTTTGAGACAGAGTCTCACTCTGTTGCCTGGGCTACAGTGCCGTGGCGTCAGCCTAGCTCACAGCAACCTCAAACTCTGGGCTCAAGCAATCCTCCTGCCTCAGCCTCCCGGGTAGCTGGGACTACAGGCACGCGCCACTGTGCCTGGCTAATTTTTTCTATTTTTAGTTGTTTCGGGTAATTTCTTTCTATTTATAGTAGAGACGGGGGTCTCACTCTTGTTCAGGCTGGTCTCGAACTCCTGAGCTCAAGCAGTCCTCCCACTTCGGCCTCCCAGAGTGCTAGGATTACAGGTGTGAGCCGCCACGCCCAGCCTTACCACCACTGCTGGGTGGACCTGCATGAGCCTCCCTGCCCCTGGACTACAAGGTGACCTGGAAGGGCCCATTTCATGTCAAAACTGAAATGCATCCTCAGGGGAAGCCTCCTCCTGTCATTTTCTGGATTGCAATGGTGCTGACTGGCCCTGCAGAAGAGGACTGTTGGGCCTGGGGGCCTTGGTGAAGAATGGGTCGTGAGTTCCAGTGTGACCCCAGGGTAGCCCCACCACACCATGGTATGCTAACCGACATAGACATAGTAGTTTTAGGCCACTTTCCCTGATTCCAAAAAAAAAAAAAGCATTTTATAATCTGAAAGATATGATTTGTATATCTGTTGCTGCTCCAGGATTAAACAGCAGGTAAGGGGGTAGGGATTCTTTCTGTAAGGCCTCTAAGACCTCTAGGCTGTGGAGACACCCTTTGCTCTCTCCTCTGGCGTGATCACCAGCCTGGCTCCTTCTGGGGACTGATTAGTCAGAGCAGCTTCCCTTACCTCTCTGGGGGTCTCTCGCCTCCAAGCCCAGGACAACAGTGCCAGGGCCATATCGCTGTCGGTCTGGCTCCCAGGGTGCGAGCACCTTGTCCCCCGGGTGCAATGCATATCCCACAGATGGTGAGAGCCGAACAACGTCTTCTTCTAAGACCACACTCTGCTGCCGAGCTGGTAGCTTTGGGCCTGTGACTAGGGGAGCTTCGTATTCAACAAGCAGGGTCCCCTGTCTCTCCAGCTGGGGGGAAGAAAACACTCAGAATAAGATCTGGCATTAGAAAGCACAACAGGGAGCACCCAGGTTCCCCATGATGCCCCAGAACCAGGCCCCGGGGCTTCCTTACAGTGAGGGCCACGACTAAAGAAGGGACAGGTGCTGCTTGGAGCCAATTACACCAAGACAGGCGGCTAGGTTGCAGGTGCTCTTCCTCCACCTCTTCTTGCCATGGGCAACTCTTGATTACTTCCAGCCTTTTCCTTTTTTTTTTT